AGCCCCTCCCGTCTCTCTCTCTCTCTCTCTCTCTCTCTCTCTCTCTCTCTCTCTCTCTCTCTCTCTCTCTCTCTTTGCGGAGTTCGTTCGCTCGCTCGCGCGCAGTGAACGTCGCGTTCGAGAGACGATGTACAAGCCTGCCCCCTCCCCAGTCCCCACCTTTCCCTCTACCTTGCCTCTATGTAAGGCCCATAGGACCCGCGACTGGGTGGGGGTGGTGTAGGGCCCAACAGCGAGTGTATCCGGGTATCGCGAGGGGAGCGAGCAAGGCCCTCTTCTCCTCTCGCCCTTTTCTCCGTCGTCTTCCTGCGCGGGAACCTTCTTGGCTCCCTTCGTCCCCACGTTCTCGCGTTCCTTTTTTCCTGCTCCTCTTCCTCCTCGCGGGAACGAGAGGGGTCCAAAGAGAGAAAGAGAGAGCGAAGAGAAAAGTGGAAAAGAGAGAGAAGAGAGGTCCAAGAGAGGGAAGGGGGAATCGCGGAGACTTATGGAGTACATAATGATGCGCCCCGCGGTATTACGTCGACTTAACGGACGCGTATGCGTGCTTCGCAAGCGATGAAGCCGACGACGTCGAGAAGGAGTCTTCGTGGCGGGCGGGAAAAGGTTCGGGCACGCTGACGTTTCGACAGAGGAAACGAAACGCGCGCTACGTTCGGGAGAAGTCGGGGAAGTATCTAAATAATTAACATCGCCTGGAAGCGATGTTAATTTTGCACGACGAACAACTGTAAAGTGAGAGAACTTTATTACCGATGGAAACTCGACGAAGTGTGCGACGATCTTGGGGAGTTTTTCTTTGAAATAAAGGAACTGTTATTGAAACAGTTATTGATATATGATACCGGGCAATGTGAGAAGCCGATAGCGGAATGGGAAGTAGTTAATGTTGAATTAATACAGTAACAAGTGGTGCAATTTGGTGGTTTCCATTAAGGTAACTGTATCATGTAACGAGTTTCGTAAAAATTTGACGAAACTTGCACTATATACACGGAAAAAAATTTTCAATTCGCGTAACTAAATGGGGACCAGACGAAAGACTCGTTGACGAGAAATAATATCTCTGTTGCTGTGTCCGAAAATATTTGTCTGAACACTCAGCTGCATCGAAACTCGATTAAAGTAATCGAGAGCAATTGGCTGAATAGAAACCTCCTACAGCAATCTTTTTTTATATTTGTAATATTGTCTTGTATGTATTTTTCTCAGCTCCGTTTCAAATTAACAGTAATATTTAGATACTGAAATAAATATATAAAAACGTAATATAAAAACGTAATGTTTGATAAATAATAAATTTATGAATGATTCCTTTGATGCACCACTGAAAATATAGTATCTAGAGATAAGTATTTTAAATTACCGTTTTGCATACGAGTATAGAATGTGTACGAGATGTTAATATAATTAAATCCAACCGATCTGCACCAATCTGATTCAATATAGCGTATAAAATCTTCGACGTGCACTATATAGTGCGAGAACGCACGAAGAGTCATCTTTGTGCAAAGATGAAGATGTAAATTACGACTGTTGCCTTTTTGGGTTGTAGAGGAAATGTCTGGGATGCGTTGTCGACGTAGGTCAACGATAAAGTGAAAATTATGGGGAAAAAGGCAGCCGTAGGCGAGAGAGAGATAGATTGTGACAGGGAGATGTATGAAGCGCATAATGATGCGCAGCGCGGTATTACGTTGGCTTAATAGGCGTTTCGCAAATAGAAACCTCGCGCGGCAAGCTTAGTGGCTCTATTCGCTTCGCGAGATTTATTTACGGCAAATTCGCCACGTAGCCTTTCGATGCCTGAGCAGTACCTAGTAAGTATTATTTACGTATCTTGCGATATAAAAAAGAAAAAAAAAAATAATCCGCAAAAGAGTTTGCTCTGGCGGAAAACAACTTGAATTCTTCGAAACGATTTACTTGAATCACAATCGAGATTACATCAATCTCTTATTTAACCTTTGAGCAATAGTACTGCTATGTTCTGGTTATTAAATTGTCAGACGTGAAGACTGTAATATATGGTCTATAACATATTTGACGTAATCTCTCTCTGTACATACACGGGGAATAATACAAGTGTTAATTCATAATTAAATGTCACGTATTCAGTATATTCTATGATTGCATTACACGGCATTAACGGTTGCTTTCCACAAATTCGAAAATTTCAGGATTAAACCTGAGATTATCTCTCTGAAATGCAATATCGCGCGTTGCTGCTGATCGTTGATTGAAAAATTCAACAGATTATGTCTCGCTTAGCTTCGATTAAAGAGAATTATACGGAGAGGAAAGATCAGTTGAACACAATATGACAACAAGCAAGCTAAACGCGTTTAAGCTGAAGGAAACAAAATTTCTGGTTTTTAATTACTTGTATAGTCCCCGCAAAAGTTCATTGGAAATTAGAAGTATGTTAATATTTCTAAATATCGTTCGTATAAAAATATACGTATGTAACATAGTGAATAGCATATTTTTACTTTAATATATTTTTGTAGTCTATTTTATTTTATATTATTCCGTTCAAGTTATTATGTTTGGTTCAAAATGGACTAACTTTTGATACAAGTTCTGAATTATTGTTAAATTGTTTGCGTTGCTTTTAGATACAATATAAATTAATCTGTAATTTTCTCAATGTTTCTTCATTATTTCTGAGATAATATATCCTTAAGAATCGAGTTTGATTCATATACAAGAACAGAAATTCCGTTTCCTTCGAATCCTTCGTTTGGGATCCAATCACTGCCACATTAACTTAACTTTTCCCTCTGTGTAGTTTATGGGACTTTGTGGAAAATTCAAGAAGCTGCATAAAATATGGGCGTCGATTAATCGACCTGCCGAGAAAGAGTCGCTTCCACATTCGTTGAAGAACGCGTCACTGAAAAGTCGAACGCAAAATACGAGACGAGATATCCGATCTCGGGGCCGCTCTGCCATTACGGTAGTTTGACCCTTGACACGGAGCGATTTGGGCAGGCGAGGCCGGAATTTCGGCGGCGCCGATTGAAGGACCGGACAGGCACGGTGCACAGTTACGGTGAAAGGGTTACTTGCTCTCTTTCGTTTTGTGCTCACCGCATGCGTTATAAGTAGACTCTATAACGCGATCAGGGGGCTCGGCGAGGGAGGCTCCCCTCCGCCGCTCGGCGTTTCCCCGTACGCGCCCTGGAACGCCCTGGATAATTTGTATACGTCGCGAAAACCGTGGGAACAAAAGCGCCGCCGATACATACGCGCTGATCGTTATCTCCCGGTATCAAGATACCGTCGTAAACTGTCGTGTCTCTAACATAACCACGTTGCGCGAATAACGAACCGTTATCGTCGTCACTGCAAAGTACATGGATACATGCGCTTGATATTGCGAAATGCGCTCGATGTACAATGCGCGTTTCTGTTTAGAGGTGTAATGGGATAATAATTTCATCAAAAAGAAATTCTATAAAAAAACAAAAAAAAAAAAATCGAAGAAAACTCTTATAAGCTTTTGTAACGAAATTTCTTTTTCGCTGTATATCATAGAATCTTCTTAGAGAAACAGTAAAGAGTGCGGCCAAGAGTGGTTCAGATTCATGGCCAAAAAATATTTTGAAGCCATTTTAAAATTAAGTTTACGGTACGTATATTATACA